TGGAAGAGAGGCCTGCGTTTTCCAGAGCTCAGAGATATGTATATTCTATTTTTTTTTTAAAAAAAAAAAAATCTCCCTTTCACAATTGCATGCCCAGAATGGCACTCACTCCAGAATGTATAATTAACGATAGATGAAATATGATGTGGTAATGATGAGGAGGGGCTGGGAACCCCACGGGCGCTCTGGAAACAGACCACAATTGTCTGGGGCCTTGTCCTTGCTTTCCCAGCCAACTCATCCATGTGGCAGTTTTCAGTTGCCTGCACAGGTTGCCTGCCTTACTAGTCCTTTCCGGCTTTTGGGCGACCTGAAGGGGAATCTCTCCCCGTGGTGTCTTCCCAAGAGTTTGCCCTTGCTTTCCTCTGGAGCTGAGAGTTTGTGACTTGCCAAGGTGGGCTTCAGTATCCAAGTGGGGACTCGACTCCTGCAGACCTCATCACACTAGAGAATGAATCCACTTTAAATCCGGTTTCCGCCTCCTGCAGAATTGTGGGGTTTGTAGTTTAGGAAGGAGTCTTTGACAGTCTCACTAAACTACAAACCCCACAATTCTGCAGGAGGCGGAAACCCGATTCATTCTCTAGTGAGATTCTCTAGTGGCTCAGTCTACGGCCCCAGCTGCACTGACCAGTTAATGCAGTTCGAAGCTGGCTTCAAACTGTGGCAGCGAGACACAAACAAACTCCCACAAAAACGTGTGAAAGCAAGTCTGTAATGCGAGTCAGTGCTCTGTGGTTTGTGCCATTGCCACTCAGGCCTCCAACTGGTTCTAGAATTTCCTATGGAATCATCCGCACAAGCACTTTCTTCAATCCCGGTTTGTAACTGAACCCCAAGTATTTCTTCCTAACGCGCCCTTCTAAGAAGTCTTCACCTTGACTTGGTCGCTTTGAAACGCCAAGAGATTAGGTCTGAATTTGCCTCAGGCCTAAGGCTCTGTCTACACTGCCACATAATGCAGTTTGGGACTGCATCGTGTGGCCATTTTAGAGACTCTAATGTGGTGCAATCAGGTCTCAGTGGGTGTCATTTCGCTTCTGTCCAACGCCGACTGTTCAATGGGATGTAAAGCAAAAGAAACACTACACACACACACATTCGCTCCTGCCTAGAAAGTTTGGTGAGAGGTTTAGGAGACGAGATTGAGAGGCCTGGGAGGCTGTTGTGGGCCCACAGAAGACCTTGCTGTGTGGGTGTGCAAAGGGAAGGGGGATCCCCAAGAGATCTCAGGGTCTCTGACAATTTGGCAGGTGTCTGAAGAGGGGCCAGAAGGGCAACACGGCCCAAGATGAAGCAAGGACTTAGCGGCTCAACAACAACGGCGATAGTCCACAGTCCTTGCTTCGTCTTGGGTCATTTTGGGGGTCCTGGGTTAAATTCCCCCCGTGAAATCTCAAGCCAGTCCCCAATTGGGCCCTTGGGAGAGTTTCAAACGGCGTGGCGGCTGGAGGCTCAGCTCCAAGGCCCTTGTGGGAAAGTATCGATCCTCCGAGGCACGGATCCAGGCAGCGGAGCGGAGCGGGGCAGCCTTTGAGGCCCTTTCCAAGCCACAAAAGGACTCCGCGCCCCCGAGAAGTTAAGGGTCACTTCTCAAACTCCCTTGAAGTCTGCGGGAGGGATGTCCCTTTCTCCGCCCGGACCTTCAGCCTCTTCTCCTCCCCCCTTCCCCCCATCTCCATCATCCTTTCGCTACTTAGGAAACCTTTCGACTTCGAGGGCGGGAAGGGGGTTGCAATAGCAAGTCATGAAAGTAAAATAAAAATACTTAAGATTTGTTTTATTTCCGAGGTCATTTATAGGACGTTGGCACACCTTTCCCCGTGTACCTCCTGAACATTTCAGCTGGCCTCCTTGAATTGGGTGAAAGGAACCGCAAAACCCAAATCTTCGCCTTCAAGAAAGCTCTGAGAAGCTCCCCACAACTTTCCCATTTCGGCTGCAGTTCTGCTGTTGGGTTGCTGTGTTTTCTGGGCTGTGTGGCCATGTTCCAGAAGCGTTCTCTCCTGACGTTTTCGCCCACATCTGACAGGCATCCTCAGATGTTCAGGGGTCTATTAGAAACTAGGCAAGTAGTGTTTATATATCTGTGGAAGGTCCAGGGTGGGAGAAAGAACTCTTGTCTGCTTGAGGCAAGTGTGGATGCTGAAATTGATCACCTTCATTAGCACTGAAAGGGGGAGAATGCTTCTGAAACATGGCCACACAACCCGGAAAACTCACAGCAACCCAGTGTTTCCGGTTGCGAAATCCTTCGACAACACAACGCAGTTTGGAAGCGAGAGGTGGCCCAGCCCAGCATATTGACTTGCAATGCACTATGTGGATGGATCTACACTGTCCTATCATGCACTTTGAACTGTGCACACCAGTGGTTCCCAACCTTTTTTTCACGAGGGACCACTTTGACCAGGAACTACTTAAGTTAGGAAGGTCCCATCAACAGTCTAGAGGTACATCTATCCCAGGCATCCTCAAACCGTTGCCCTCCAGCTGTTTGGGCCTCCAACTCCCAGAAGCCCCAGCCAGCGTGTTCAATGGTCAGAAATTCTGGAAGTTGGGGGCAAAACAACTGGAGGGCCGCAGTTTGAGGATGCCTGATCCACTCTGTAGAATCAGTGCAGCTTGACACCACTTCAACTGCTGGATGCTATGGGATCCTGGGAATTGTAATTTTGCAAGGTCTTTAGTCTTTCTTGCTGAGGCCTCACCAGACGACAACCCCCAGGATCCCATTGCATGGAGGCTTGGCAGTTGAAGTGTCCTCAGAACTGCACTATAAATGCACCCAAAGGTTAGGGTGATTTAGACAAGGCATGTTCCCCTGGCCTTTCCTTTGGCTGTCCTAACTCTTTTCCCCGTGCGCCCAGGGAGAGGAAATAAAGGGGCATCAAAATACACACCGAATGTGGGGACTACCTAGTTTTATTTCCCTTTCCCTCCCCTCTTTCCTAACAACTTTTGGAGGGACACAACTACTTTTCCAAAGCGCCTCCTCTCTCTCTCTCTCTCTCTCTCTCTCTCTCTCTCTCTCTCTCTCTCTCTCTCTCTCTCTCTCTCTCTCTCTCTCTCTCTCTCTCTCTCTCTCTCTCTCAGAGCCGCGCCAGAGCGCCCCCTGCCGGCCAGAGCCCCGCTCTCCTCGAAACCTTGGAGAAAAGTTGCATTTTGCTCAGGATACAATTAACGACGCCCCATAAAAAATATTCCGCGCCGAGGTTACGGCTCTAAAAGTCCATCTCCTGCGCAATAATAATGCAATACAAAAGCTTTCTTCCCGCGCAGGCGGCCAATCAAGCGCGGGTTTTTGAATGCGCGCGCCTGCCTGTGCCTGGGCCTGGGCCTGGGCCTGGGCCTGGGCTTGGCTGCCATTTGGCTTGTCCCCTCCGTGCCCGGGCCCTTTTATCTAAAGCCCAGTGCACAAACATATAGCTTAATGTGACTAGTGTTCTCCCCTTTCTTCCCCTCGCTATGGCAACCGAGAGGTTCCGCTCAGCAATGTTCCCCCATCAAGGAAACAAATGATGGGGAGGGAGGGAGCAGCTTGGGGCGGCATCTGTTCCAAGGGAGCAGGCAGAGTGAACCCGGGAGGGCCCTCCTCCTTGCCGAGGGAAGCCGCGCGGGAAAAGCGGGCCAAATCCCCACGGGACAAACCCGCCTGCCCGGGACGCCTTCCCGAGCCCCTCGCCGCCTCCTTGCACACTTCTTTGGGAGGCCGAGGGAGAAGGAAGGGGGAGAAATCCGACCCTCCAAACTGACCAGGAAAGAAGAGAGATACATACATCTATTCTCCCTGAAAGAGGCGTGAGGGGGAGGGAGGGAGAGAGAGAGAAAAAACCCTCCCTTTCCACCTAAAGTTTTTTCCTCCACCGCCACACCACCATGCGTTGTTGTTGCTGCTGTTGTTTGGGTGCAAAGAAAAGGCGAAGTGGGGTTCAGACAACATGGGGAGAAGCTCAGTGCCCTTCGAAAGGCCTCGACCCCTTCGCCTTCTTGGACAATAAAAGGAAAGGGTGTCCTGCTTAGTTTTGATGGATGAGCCACTTTCCCTTCAGAGCTGGGGATGTTTGGCTTCACTGACTGCACTTTGGTTGCAACATTAACCCCCTGGGTCCAGCCCTACCCTAACAACTGACCTTGTTGCCCCCCCTCCAAAAAAACACCCCCCAATTTCACTATATCACTCTTTCCTTTCCTTCCACAACCATCACTCTTTTAATGCAATGCTTAAAAACTAGGTGACTGTGCAAAGGGAGGGAGGAGGACTACCACCTCCTCGTCCTGAAGATCATGGAGAAACAATAAACATTGGGTAGTTGTGAGTTTTCCGGACTGTATGGCCATGCTCCAGAAGCATTCTCTCCTGACGTTTCGCCTGCATCTATGGCAGGCATCCTCAGGGGTTGTGAGGTCTGTTGGAAGCTATGAAACAGATCTCACAACCTCTGAAGGTGCCTGCCACAGATGCAGGCGAAATGTCAGAAGAGAATGCTCCTGGAGCATGACCACACAGCCCGGAAAACTCACAACTCAGTGATTCCGCCCATGAAAGCCTTCCACAATACAGTAAACATTGCTAATAGCTGGCTCATCTTCCAATCTAGGTTCCTAAGTCTCCCTTTCCCAGTCTCTTCTTCATCCCTTCCAAACCAAAAATGTCGAAAATGTTGCCCCAAACTAGCACCTAAGAACTCCTTGGAATGATTCCCAAGTTCATCTTTCACCTCCATGTGAAAAGAAAGGGTGGTGGATTAACAATAACAATAATAATAATAAAAATAATAAAAATATTATTTGACACAGAGCCAGATTAGTACACAACAAACAAGATCACTATGCTGGCTTTATTATTATTATTATTATTATTATTATTATTATTATTATTATTATTATTATTATTATTATTATTCTCCCTTTTCAAACAGTTTCCTGCGCGGACACACTCACTATAATAAAAATTAAATGCAGGGAGGGGAAAGGGGGGAAAAAATAAAAGTACTTACCCAAAGGAGGTCCTGGCTTGAGAGAATTCGGATTATTATTATTTCTCAAAGTGTTTTACTGCCGCTAAAGTTGGAGGGAGAGGAGAGTTCGGGTCCTCCTCTGCAGCCCCAACCGATCCAGGGTAAGATTTCCCTTTGCACTGACTCCACGAAGCCCAGCTCTCCACTAGTCTATTATTTTCACCAAAATATATGAAAATTTATGCAAATGAAAATCAGCACTAACTGTTCTCCCCTTGTTATACTTTGGATTTTTCCCCCCAGACAAAGCAATCACATTCTACAGGAAAGCGGGGTGGGATGTGGGGGGGAATGGGAATGGAAATGGATCATTGGGGGATGGGGGCAAGGATTAAGTTTGCCTTTATTAAAAAAAAATTAAAATCAGGGGTGGGATAAAAACGCCACACTCTGCTTGTAAGGCGGCTTTGTTTTGTGGATACATACACCGTATTCCAGGAGCAGGCTTTGAACTCCCATATTAGTATTATTATTATTTATTATTATTGATGTATTTATTGTTGTTCTGATTTTTTTCTTCTTCTGCTGCTGCTGCTGCTGCTACCTCGGTGGCTCTGGGAAGAGGAGCGATCACGTTTCCTCAGGCCACCTGAGACGGCTTTTGAAAGCGTGCACTGTGAAATTCATAGCAGTAATTTAGACAAAATCCTCACTGTATATTAATGAAAGACGGCCCCATGGCAGCCTTCCTATCCTCCCCATTCAGTGTAAACAAAACCACGAGACTCACTCGGATTTTGAGCCTGATCCAAGCAAAATCGGCTGGAAAAGAAAACATGGGGTTTCTGGCACCGGGGCCGTTCAAGCGGCTGCACCTGGAGATCTCGGGGCTTTCTTTATATATTATTATTATTATTATTATTATTATTATTATTATTATTATTATTATTATTATTATTATTATTACTATTACTATTCCGTGCAATCTGTGTTCGATCCTTCGTGAGCCCCCCCCCTCCAAAAAAGGGGGAACCTCTGTCAGGGGAAACAAAACGAAAGGGGAGGTTGGAGAGGGAGAGGGAGGCGTCTCTCCAGCTCCAGCTCCTTTCTCTAAACCCACCAGAGATGGTATCTTTGGACTGAGGAAGCAGGCGCTGGACCGGGTCCTAAACAAATGCGCTCTAAAGCTCCCCATCGCGCCTGCCTGCCTGCCTGCCTGCCTGCCCCCCACACCTTCCCCGAAATGCCCTTTTCTGCGGTGGGGAGGGGGGGAGCAGGAAGGCGGTGCGTTGCAAGGCTGCGTGTAAACACACACACACTCACACACCGGAGAAGATTGTGACCCAAAGGGGTGGAGAGGGGGAGATGCAAGAAGCGCCTTCTGAAATGGGAAAGGAGGCTTGGTCCAGATATCTCAACACACACAGCGCACAAAGAGGCAGAGAGGGTGAGCCAAGGTGTCTCCCCTGAAGGTCCGAACGGAGCTCTTTCCTTCGAAATCCCCCCGGAGTGTTCAATTTGCCCTTGTTTGGGTTGCCACTTTCTCTTTTTCCTTGGTTCACTGAGGTTGCCTCTGTGCTGCGTTTCCGCTTGGGCGCCTCGTTTTCTCTCCCTCCCTCCCTCCCCCTTCCTCTCTCCTTCCCTCCCTCCTTCTCTTTCTCTCTCCCTCTCCCATTCTCCTCCCTCTCCCTCCCGCCCACCTTAACTCTTTTCCGCCGGACTAGCAGCCAGCCATCCAAACTTCCACGCCGCTAGAGAGAGAGAGAGAGCCACGCACAAGGATGCCGCCAGATCGCGATCGCGCGTGGACTCCTGCTTTAATATTTATTGGTTGGAAATCAGACTCATTCAAAGGTGTTTTGAAACCAGGGAAGGAAGGAGGGGGAAAAAACAACCGTGCCTTGACATAATTAGAAACAATAAGGGGCAGATGCTTGACTAAGTTTTGGTGTGGCACAGAGAAACCCCAGAGCGTCCCGAATTGGGCTTCTTTGTATTCTTATTATTGTATCGTCGAAGGCTTTCGTGGTCGGAATCACAGGGTTGTTGTAGTTTTTGTTTGTTTTTGTTTTTTTTTTTTTTGGTTATATGGCCATGTTTTAGAAGCATTCTTTCCTGACATTTCGCCTGCATTTATGGCAGGCATCCTCAGACGTTGTGAGACTGGGTTGTTGTGAGTTTTCCGAGCTGTATGTTCATGTTCCAGAAGCATTCTCTCCTGACGTTCCGCTGCATCTATGGCAGGCATCCTCAGACGTTGTGAGGTCTCACAACCTCTGAGGATGCCTGCCGTAGGTGCAGGCGAAACGTCAGGAGAGAGTGCTTCTGGAACACGGCCATACAGCCCGAAAAACCTACCACAACCAATTTATTCTTATTTTCTTTCCGAGGCGAGGAAAGAGGCGCACAGAGAGAGATGGATGAGCGGAGGGCAGCCAAACAAAGGCCAGTCACGCTGCCGCTCACCCATGCTACCTCATGGCCTCCTCTCAGGGCGGGTTTCTCTCGTGGGAGGGCCTTGGCCTTCACATCTTTGCTCACCCAGGCCAAAGGGGAGAATAAAGGAAAAGGGGGACGAAGTTTGAGCGCGCTCCTTTCCGCGCGTCTCGCCTCCCTCCGGAAAGGGCCTCTCAGAGGCAATCGAGGCGAGCCCAAGGCTTTCCGGAAAAGGCCTTCCTCGGTGACCACCGCCCACCCTCCTGGCGGACATCCCCGCGTGTTTCCTCTCCCTCCCTCCCTCCACAACACATACACATATACACACACGCTCTCCCGCCTCCCTCTGGCCAGCTCAGCTTCAGCGCGGAGGGGACGCGGGCTGCGAAGAGTTAACATGACGAGGGAGGGAGGGAGGGAGGGAGGGGGAGGAGGGGGCGCGGGAGAGGCAGGGCATCTTTTCCAGCCTCCACTTTTGACGCTTTCGCCTAAATTAAAAAGCAACCAATCGGAACAGCCGGAAGGGGGGGCCTCCGGTCCTGAGCCAGTCATTCCGGGCCTGCCAATCACGCAGCAGGCAGCCAATCAGCGGGGGCCCTCGCGCTCGACTTCCTTGTATTTGGGAAAGTGGGGTGGCGGCGGCGGTGGTGCGCGCGCCCTCGGCGGAGGGTAAACACTCGCTCGCCAGTCCCCGCTCCGAGAGGGAGGGACACAGAGGCAGAACTGTCAGAAGGAGAGAGAGAGAGAGAGAGGAGAGAGAGAGAAAGGAAGCGAGGAGGGGGAGGAGAGGAGGAGGAGGAAGAGGAGGAGGAGGAGGAGGAGGAGGAGGAGGTGGCAACAGAGGAGGCAGCGCCAGGGCAGAGGAAGCGCTACTCGAGGAGAACCATCTCTGCGCGCCCACAGCCTTCCAGCCAGGCTCTCTCACTCTCTCGCTCTCTCACCCTCTTCTTCGCCCTGGTTGCAGAGCGGAGCCTTCGCAACTTTTCCTTGGACATTTGCTGCTCTCCTCCTTCTTTGGGATTTCTTCCCCCTCAAGCAAGCCATGTGAGCTGGGGCTCGGAAGGCGAGGCGGGGAGGAAGAGAGGAGCCTTCCCCCGAGCATGGGCATGCCTTCTTCTTCAGGCCGGCTGCTCCCCAAGGCGGCTCCCGGAGGACCCCCCTCTCCGAAGGGAACCCGGCAACTTTGAAGAGCCACGCTTCTGCTTCCCTCGCAGCTCTCTCTCCGCCGACTCTTTCGCCAGAAGTTTTCTTAGGACGTAAACAAAACTTGCGCGCTTAAAGCGAGAGAGGGGGGGGGAAGGGGGGAAGAGAGTCAGAGAGAGAGAGAGAGAGAGAGAGAGGCAGTGCGCGCGAGTGAGAGAGAGAGGGGCGAAAGAAAAGGAGCCCACACGCACCTCATTCACGCCATACAAAGCCTTCCAAGGAGGGGAAGGAGGGGGAGAAAGTTTCTCTGTGGCGGAAAAGAAGAAAGAGAGAAAGGGAAAGAGAGGGAGAGACCCCCTCGGACTGGACTGGAAGCTCCTCTCCGGCTTGGCGCTCTTTCCTCTGCCCGGCCTCCCCTGCCATGCCGAGCAGGTGAATGGGACTGAAGGCAGCGGCGGCGGAGGCAGCAGCAGCAGCGAGGGCGAGGGCGCCCTTTCCCGCGGCGGCGTGAGCGCCGGCCACCCATCCTCTCTTCGGAGGGCGCCTCGTCGGAGGTCTCGCCCGTCGCCCGCCGGCCGAGGGAGGCTGGCAGGCGGCCGGGCGGAGGGGCGAGGATTCTCCTCACGCATTTCTGGGCGGCGGAGGCTGGCGGAGGGCGCGGTGGAGGGGGCGCCGGAAGGCCAGCAGCGGCGGCGGCGGCGTCGACGGTGGCGAGCATGGCCACGGCGGCCTCCAACCCCTACCTGCCCGGCAACAGCCTCCTCTCGGCGGCCGGCGCCATCGTCCACTCGGACGCCGCGGGCATGCAGCCGGGCAGCGTGGCCGTCACCTCCGTCGCCGGCGGAGGGGGAGGAGGAGGCGGAGGAGGAGGAGGCGGCGGGGGCGGAGGGGGCAACGGCGGCGCGAACAACGGCAACAACGGATACCGGGGCGACCCTTCCTCGGTGAAGATGGTCCAGAGCGACTTCATGGTCCAGAGCAATGGCGGCCATATGCTGAGCCATGCCCACCAGTGGGTCACCGCCTTGCCCCACGCCGCCGCCGCCGCTGCGGCCGCCGCAGCCGCAGCCGCCGCCGAAGCCGGGTCGCCGTGGTCCAGCATGAGCGGCAGCCCGCAACAGCAACAGCAACAACAGCAACAACAGCAGCCCGACGTGAAGGGTGGCGGCGGCGGGCGGGAGGACTTGCTGCACCACCGCCCGCCCCACCTGGGCCCGCCGCCGCCGCCCCCCCACCAGGGCCACTGGGGCGCCATGGCCGGGCAGCAGCAGCAGCAGCAACCGCAGCAGGCGCCGCTCCTCTACTCGCAGCCCGGCGGCTTCACGGTGAACGGCATGCTGAGCCCTCCGCCGGGCAGCCAGGGCCTGGGCGTGCACCCGGGCTTGGTGCGCGGAGACACGCCGGAGCTGGGCGAGCACCCGGGCCACCACCACCACCACCAGCACCACCACCACCACCCGCACGCGCACCACGGCGGAGGCGGGGGAGGCGGCGGCGGCGGCGGGGGAGGGGGCCTCAACAGCCACGACCCGCACTCCGACGAGGACACGCCGACCTCCGACGACCTGGAGCAGTTCGCCAAGCAGTTCAAGCAGCGGCGCATCAAGCTGGGCTTCACGCAGGCCGACGTGGGCCTGGCGCTGGGGACGCTCTACGGCAACGTCTTCTCGCAGACCACCATCTGCCGCTTCGAGGCCCTGCAGCTGAGCTTCAAGAACATGTGCAAGCTGAAGCCGCTGCTGAACAAGTGGCTGGAGGAGGCCGACTCCTCCACGGGCAGCCCCACCAGCATCGACAAGATCGCGGCGCAGGGCCGGAAGCGCAAGAAGCGGACCTCCATCGAGGTGAGTGTCAAGGGCGCCCTGGAGAGCCACTTCCTCAAGTGCCCCAAGCCCTCGGCCCAGGAGATCACCTCGCTGGCCGACAGCCTCCAGCTGGAGAAAGAGGTCGTCCGCGTCTGGTTCTGCAACCGGCGGCAGAAGGAGAAGCGCATGACCCCGCCGGGCATCCCGCAGCAGGCGCCCGACGACGTCTACTCCCAGGTCGGGAACGTCAGCGCGGACACGCCGCCCCCGCACCACGGACTCCAGGGCGGCGTGCAGTGAGAGGGAGGCAGGGAGAGAGAGGGAGAGGGAGAAAGGGGCAGGCAGGCACCAAAGGGAAAGAAGGGAGAGAGGGAAAAGGAGAAGGAGGCAGGCAACGACCCAGCGCCACACGGCCACGCCATGCACACATCCCTCCGGCCCACACCCGCTTCCCCACTGCCTTGTTTACTTCTGGTACTCTGCTAGATCTATGGGGGAATCGCCCCAACTGAGGGTTATGTTGAGCCTAACCGCTCAAATTCCCCAACACTTGTAATGGCCCCAGATCCGGACCACATTGGAGTTGCCCAGTCCAGTTTGCCTTCCTACACACGCAGATCCATAGCTCTTCCCCCTTGCAGCACCCTGACCAAACACTCTCCCCACGGATGCCCTGCAGTGGCTGGGATTGCCGCCATGAAGGAGCAGCTACCTCTCCTCTCCCACAAACTCTCTCTCTCGCTTTCTCTTCCCTCTCCATCTCTGTCTCCGCTCAGACCTACTCCCACCCACCAGCCACCCACCCACCCACTCGACACCCGCAAATAGATCGCCCTACAAATCCCTAGAAAGGTTTCTGTCTCCCATAGATAGCCTCAAGTCTCACACTCGCACGCACTCGGTGCCAGAAGGGTCAAAGAGGGAAGCAAAAGCATTACCTTGTTTTTACACTTGCTCCTTTCCTGAACTTTAGTTGTCCTTTTATTCCTCCTTTCCCCACTGCTTTGGCCAAACTGCATTGTTTTGGTAGAGAAGGAGGCGGACTCTCTCCTTTGGAGAGGGAACAATAAATAAATCAAAAAGAAGCAGGGTTCTGCCAAAAGGAAAGGGCTCGATTTTATTTTTAATAATTTTTTTTGCAAGATAGGAAAGGAAGGAAAAGTCAGGTTAGCAGCACTGAAATACAACATACACAAAACAAACCAAGAAAAAGCAAAACTGTGACGAATTAGGGGGGGAAGGAGAAAGAGAGGAGAAAGAAAGAAAAAAAGAAAGGGGGGGAAAAGAAAGAAACTTCTGCAAATAGAAAAAAATATTAAAAAGTGTGAGAGAGGGTAAACAAAGCGAGGTGGTTGATTTTTAAAGCGAGAGCCCTGTAGGATTGGCAGGAATTAAGAGAAAGAGCAACTGAAAGGGAGTCATAATTCAGGGCTGTCCCAGTTATGTTTCTGAAGGCTGCCAGTCATCCTGGAAGATTAATTTCCCCCAAAAAAGAGTTTACTGCTAATTTTTCAATTATTTTTTTTTAATTTCTGGACTAATCCGAGAGAGAGAGAGGGGGGGGGGGTTTCCCAAGGACTGGGCTCCTGCAGCTGCACTTCTCTGAACTTCTCCTCCTCCTCCTCCTCCTCCTCCTCCCCTCGCTCCGTTTGCCAACTTGATTGAATGGGTGCTGCTGCGGTGGAGGGGGAGTCTCTAATACTGCCATTTCCTCGCAGTGTTTTTGGTAGGTTTTAATAAACAGAACTTTTCAGCAAACAAAAAAAAAGAAAAAAGAAAAAAAGACGGCAATAGAGAAAATGTTTAGATCCGTTGTTGATCTAAAAAAAATATTTGCTTTATATTTTCATTAAATGACTTCTTTTAATATTTTATTCAGAATACCTATGAACTGCTGCAAAACGGTAATTTATTTTTTCCCCAGATCTTGTATTACGTGTTTTTTTCAGACGAGCACAAATTTAAAAAAATGAAATTAAAAAAAAAAACACTACGGACAGCTATTAGGTAATAAGGGTATCTTTTGATGTGATAATTTGATTGTAATTTAATTTGAGTAGTGATTCCGTAAGAGCTGATTGAGAAAAAAATAAATTTGTTAGAATGAAATAGTCTTTTGTCTGGTGCCTACGAAACACAAATGGTGTCTGTCCAATAAGTTCCCTCCTGAAGATCCTGGAAACCTTCTCTGTGCTGGGATCACCGAGAGAGGAGAAGAAACCTGCTTTCTGTGGCCTGTTTATGGTGTTTTGGCCTGTGCTTGTGTGCGAGGGGAAAGAGAGGGAATCCCCACTTCTCCTGGTATTATCCAGGGTAGCTTTTTTGGAAGTAGCAATCCATATTCAATTCCACAACCTAGATCAATGTCCTGAGCGTGTATAACGGGAAGATAAAGCAGAATAGACCTCACAACCTCTGAGGATGCCTGCCATAGATGCAGGCGAAACATCAGGAGATAATGCTTCTGGAGCATGGCCATACAGCCCGAAAAACTTACAACAACCCAGTGATTCCTGACATGAAAGACAATTCCCATCCAGGTGAGAATCTATCTATCTATCTATCTATCTATCTATCTATCTATCTATCTATCTATCTATCTATCCATCCATCCATCCATCCATCCATCCATCCATCTATCTATCCCCTTTCTTTCTCCCCTGCTTCCCCAAAATGTAAACCATTCTGTTTTAAGACAATAGATTGCTTTGATACCTTTGATAGTTATGCCTTATCAAAATTTATTTATTCTCAAAGGCTTTCATGGCCGGAATCACTGAGTTGTGTGTTTTCCGGGCTGTGTAACCATGTTCCAGAAGCATTCCCTCCTGACGTTTCGCCTGCATCTATGGCAGGCATCCTCAGAGGACCTTACCACCTTCGAGGATGCCTGCCATAGATGCAGGCGAAACATCAGGAGATAATGCTTCTGGAACATGGCCATACAGTTCGGGAGAATAGACAACCACCCAAAATGTATTTAATTCGTCACTGTGGTTTCACAAACGGTGCTTGCTGCTAAGTTGATGTGTTTCCAGAGAAGAAAGTATTCCCAGTGTTAGTCAAGGCTCTGGTAGTTTGCAGCTGGTGTGTGGCTTTAGGGACTGGTGTGTAGTATGTGTGCAGATCTTTCCGTGTTTTCTCTCCTCTTATTTTAATGTGAGTGTTTGTTATATCAAGGGCGCAAATAGATGCCCTGCTTCCAAGAAGTGGGGTCCCTAACTGTTTTGTTGTCATCGTAATAATCCTGGGAAGGCACAGAAAGGGGGCTCTGAAGCCACCTTGGCAATGTTGTGGTGTCCAGGCAGGAAAACAAGCCCGACAAACCCCAGTGGGAAGGAGGAGCCGGTGAATCTGATAATGATGATGGATATAAGGTTTCAATGGGCGGCTAAGCTCCTTTTCTTTCCCTTGATGCTGTGGGCTCGTGGTTTGAAACAAGGAAACCATTTTAATTCCTTCACCAGACGTCTTGCTCCAGATGAAAGTAGAAAAATGCCACCCCCAGGTTGAGAGGCAGCATCCAAAAAGGGAGGGATGGGGAAAGGTGTGGAGGGAAGCCAGAGCAAGGCTTCTTTTGTGTTGTCGAAGGCTTTCGTGGCCGGAATCACTGGGTTGTTGTGAGTTTTCCGGGTTATATGGCCATGTTCCAGAAGCATTCTCCCCTGGCATTTCGCCTGCATCTGTGGCAAGCATCCTCAGAGGTTGTGAGGTTTGTTAGAAAGTAGGAAAATGCTTCCAACAGACCATTTTCCTAGTTTCCAACAGAATCTATGAGATGCCTGCCATAGATGCAGGTGAAACCTCAGGAGAGAATGCTTCTGGAACATGGCCATAACAACAACCCAGGGTTTCTTTTCTCTGAGCCATTCTTTCCTTTGAGCCATTGTTTTAGCTCTTCCAGCTAGGCTTGGATTTGCTCACCAGAAGAGAAAAGGCACCAACAATTGTTGTTCTCTGTAAGTGAACTAAGAAAGCAGGCTTTCCAGTGTTGGGATCATGAAATTGCTTTGGAGGCTCCTAGCACGTGGGAGGCTATTGTTTTTCACCCTAAAAGAAGGGTGGGAACAATACAAAAATCTTTTTTTCCCCTTTCAAAAATAAAAGGTTTATTTTCTTGAGGATGTGGGCAACGACAGAGAGCTAGCAGCAAACCACAAACTCCCTTTTGTTTTGTTTGCTAAGGTAACCTTTGGTGGTTGAATTTTAGGTCGCCACTTTGGAAAGCAACTGTTTGCGAGATGAGCCCACCTTTGTGTCCTTCTGGCACCGAAAGGTGAAGCCAAGGAGGTCATTGCCTTTCCTTCATCCCAACCCCTTCCTCGATCCTTCAGAATATGTGTTTCAGGGTTGCAAGTCCATGAGAACAGGCATCGAAATATACCTAGATTATTTATTTATCATGTCAGAAGCAAATTGAGGGTACAGTTGGAATGTATTTAAAAACACAAACAAAGTTTTAAAAATTGCCATTATACTAAATGTCCTTGGATCAGTGGATGGGCACTTGGAGTGCCTCTGGTGTTGCTATAAAAATTACCTTTTTATACACCTAGAGGAGAAGCTTGCTTGTTGTTGTGAGTTTTCCGGGCTGTATGGCCATGTTCCAGAAGCATTCTCTCCTGACGTTTCGCCTGCATCTATGGCAGGCATCCTCAGAGATTATGAGACTAGGTTGTTGTGAGTTTGTGACTGGGTTGTGAGGTTTCACAACCTCTGGGGATGCCTGCCATAGATGCAGGCGAAACATATGCTTCTGGAACATGGCCATACAGCCCGGAAAACTCACAACAGCCCAGTGATTCCGGCCTTGAAAGCCTTCGACAATATATTGCTTCTAACATGTCGATAAGAGAAGTCATATTCTGTGTCACCAGATCACTTCATGACTCTGAGCAGTGTAAATAAGTATCAACCCAGTGTTTTGTGACTGCCCATTTAGTGTGCCATTCTGTCCAAACTGACCTGAAAGTAAACCTCGTGTATTTCTCCTAAACATGTATTGCATAGCACTGTTGGTAATTTTCCCCGTCTTCCTTTCTGGGTGAAAGTAGAAAAGGCAAGGAAAATGTTTTTACAGCGTTGTCTTTAACCATTTCACCTTTACATCCCTCTCCTTCTATATTTCCCAGTCTTTTCCCAAATCTTCTCCCACCTTTGGAGTTGTCTAGCTAACTTCTCATCCAAATCCCAGCCATTCCATAATTCTCCAAGTATCTCGATGTCATTTTTCAGAACTGGAACCAAAATCTCCAGCCTGCCTTTATTTAAATCGCAGCCCTTCAGCCTTTTCCTTTTTAAAGAGATTACCTCCAATGGTAATATAAAGTGATTTTGCATCTTGCAAGGGTTGAAACTTGTTTTGTGTGGGTGGTTTTCAGCTGGC